GCAGGGACAGGCTAGAGCTTGCCTGGCCACATCGGGTCATCCCTTCCCCGTGATCGTGATGGCCGGAACCCTCGGCCCGGGCCTCGTTAGTAACAGTGATCGCTAGTGGTGTGGAGCAGGTGCACTCAGTGTGGTCAGCATTGTCCTGAGCGCTCTGCAAGCATTGACCCCGCCAACTCTCGTCGGGACCCTAGGAGGTAGGTGCCGTTGTTATCTGTCGTCACCCATTACAAGATCTGAGGCACCGAGAAGTAACTGGTCCCAAGTTCACACAGAAGTGGGATTTGAACCCCTAGGTCTGGCCCCAGAGCTGTTTGTCCTTCCATGTTTGCCACCACCAGTGGTCCCGCAGCCTCGGGCTTCAAGGCTGGGCTGGTATGCTTCCTTCTCAGCCTCCGGCTGTGGCCCGAGAGCTGTCATTTTCCCCGGAGAGTGGCTGTTCTCCTTCAGAGGAGGAAGACTGTCCCCATCCCAAAGTGCACTGGGCAACATCCAGTGTGGCCTCAGCCTAGGGGCTTTGCTCCCTGTTTCCCTGAAGGCTTCTGGATGCCCCAGTCAGCCCGTTTGGGGACCGCATGTGGGGAGCCTTGCTATCATGTCTGCTGTGTATTTAACTTACCTGCGGGAGGAAGTCCTGGTGGTCTGAGGGCCCTGGGCCCTTCTGCGGCTCAGCCATTGAAGTTAGGCTGTAGCATGAGTCTTGTGGAAGGTACGAAAACGACAGACGTGAAATTGTAAGACCAGTTTTGGGTGTATACGAGGGACCAAAAAGGAACACGGACAGGTAAACACAGTGTGGATTATTGGGGCCGCATCAAGATGGATGATTTGGTGTTTGCTATTTTTACCTAAAGCAGGCCCACCCACACCAGTGAGATCAGATGCTCACTGGGGTGGGCCTAGCGGTGATCACGTGTTAAAGGTTTCGGGATAGTTCCTGTGTTTCGGGGGCTGGAACCTCCCCTCTGGCGCCCAGCTCATCACCGTTATGTGTGCCACTTCTAAGGGGTCAAAGCCTGGGGCTGGCCCTCACTAGTAAGCCCCAGACTCTGAGCGTCTCTTGCCCTCTCAGGCTTCGGGCTGTCGTCCGCCACCTGGGGCCGCAGAGAGTCCCCTCTTTCCTCTCTGATGCCAGAGATTCTGGGAGTGGATGACCGCAGGTGGTGAAGGAGGCAGGGGTGTGTGGCTACCTCCTCTGTTGTCCCGTTGCTGACAGTGAAGCCCCCGGTGTCCGCTGGGGATTTTGGAGCCTTTTTCCCCATCTGAAAAAGGGCGTGACAGTAGTACCTGTCCCATGGGCTGGCTGAGGATTCACCACACTGATGCACACACAGAATGCCTACAGTAGTCCTTTGCTCAGAACAAGAGCTCAACAGATGCGAATCTTACAGGGGCCAACTCAGGAGGTCTCCAGGTTTTTCTGGAGGGTTAGGTTGCGGGAAGCAACTCTCTGTGTCACACTGAAATCAAAACGGGGCTTTTCCCTTTCTGTGACTGCGCTTCATCACCTGGGGCCCCTTACCAAGAACTCACTGTTGAGGGGCCAGGGTGGCCGTGGCCTCCTGGCTTTTTCCGGTGGGTAAACTGACTTTAGAAATCCAGGAGCATTTTTTTTTTCAAATTTTTTTTAACATTTATTTATTTTTGACACAGAGGGAGACAGAGCATGAGCGGGGGAGGGGCAGAGAGAGAGGGGAGACACAGAATCCGAAGCAGGCTCCAGGCTCGGAGCTGACAGCACAGAGCTGGACATGGGGCTCAAACTCACAAACCATGAGATCATGACCTGAGCCGAAGTTGGATGCTCAACTGACTGAGCCACTCAGATGCCCCGAAATCCAGGAGCATTTTTTTTTAAGTTTATTTATTTATTTTGAGAGAGGAGAGAGGGGCAGAGAGAGAGAGAGAGAGAGAGAATGATTCCCAAAAAGGCTCCGCACCGTCAACACAGAGCGTAGCTTTGGGCTAAGCTCACGAACCGTGAGGTGGTGACTGGAGCTGAAATCGAGTCAGATGCTTAACCGACAGAGCCTCCCAGGCGCTCCTGCAGGAGCATTTGATAAAGGCTGTTGGGGTAGGTTGGCAGGTTGGAGAGAGTTCTCTGTCATCTGCGACGTCAGAGCCAGCTGAGGGGCTGGCCTCCCTCTGGCATCTTCACGGCCCCCTTCCCTGTGCCCGGTCCCCAGGTGTCTCACAAGGAGAGTGAGGAGGCTCTGCAGAAGCGCCTGGACGAGGTCAGCCGGGAACTGTGCCGCTCACAGACCAGCCACGCCAGCCTGCGGGCGGACGCCGAGAAGGCCCAGGAGCAGCAGCAGCAGATGGCCGGTAAGGGTGGCCTGTTGGCTCCCAGCGGGCCTGAGGGTCTGTGCCAGATGTGGAGCCACACACCGCCCTGGCCCCACTGCCGGGCCCCGGAGCCCATAAGATGACCAGCCCTGCTGGCGAGTGAGGGCAGCATGGGATCCCTGACTCTGCCCCTCAGGTGGTCATGAGGTGACGGTCTCGGCAGGAGGCGGGCAGAGCCAGCAAGAACTAGGTGTCGGGGCGGAGCTTGAGAGCGCGGCTGGGGAGTCGGGGGCGTGGAAGGTGCCACCGCCTGGAGCCTGCCTTGCCATGGGGCCCCCTCTGGAGCATCGGCTGTGGGTGAGAGCCGCAGCAACCCTGAGGCCTTTGCCGACCTTCTCAGTGGACTCCTTCTGGACCTGTCCTGGCTCACTCAGCCCAAAAGCTAGGTTTGGAAGGTGGCCTATGGTCCCCCTATGGTCCCCCTAGGCCTACATACAGGTAACCTTCATAATCAGGAGAATGTGGCCAAGTGAGGGTGCTGAGGGCCCCTGGAGAAATAGGGCACACGAGGCCAGTGACCACTCCATAGTCACTTGCTCACAAGTATTTCCTTGCGACTGCCATAGGCACCCAGAGCTCGGCCAGGAGTAAAGCAGTGGCAGCAGGGCCACATTCTAGCAGGAGAGACAGTAGTCAGGTGGGGGGGCCATGCATCAACCAGCCCTGTGCTCTACCGGCTTCAAACAGCCAGCATGACCTAACGCAGGGTTAGTATTCTGTTTCTCTGAAGAGGCAGCTAGTAAATAGTTTTGACTTTGTGGGCCAGACACAGGGTCTGTCACAGCTGCTCAGCTCTGCTGTCATAATGCAAAAGCAGCCCTAGACGGCGTATAAACAGACAGACCTGGCTGTGTTCCAATGAAGCTTTACTTACAAAAACAGGCAGTGGGCCAGAAGTGGCCCTTGGGCCTCGTTTGCTGACCTCACTCTAATGGGCCAGGTGTGGCTTTAGATTGGGTGGTCGGGGAGGCCTCTCTGAGGCAGAGGAAAGGTTCAAGCCAAGTCTGGATGACAGGAAGGGGATGGTCTCACAAAGACCGGGAAGAGGCAGAAACGGCCAGCACAGGGCCCCTGAGAATGGGGATGAACTTGAACTTGGCCCGTATAAGAAACAGAGGCATAAGATCAACAAGTGTGACTGGAACAAGAAGGCGGTCGGCCAGTGTGGGGCCCCAGGTAGCCCTCCCTGTGAGGTGTAGCGTGCTGGGAGCACTCAGGGCGTCTGGGACGGGGGTGGCATGAGCCCCTTGTACTTGTGGATGCTCCGGTGCTGGGTGGAGACCGGACCAGAGGAGCAGGAGTGGCCCAGGGGAGCAGGTGTGAAGCTCTTGCAGTCATTCCGGCCAAAGGCAGCAGGCTGGGCCCAGGTGGCTCCAGGGTGCTGGTGGGCCGGGGAGGGATTTGGCAGACAGCGGATGTGGAACCCACAGGCCTCGCTGGCTGGTGAGAAGTGGGGACACGGAGGAGCAGAGCAGCCAGACGAGGAGACCAGGCTGATCGGCGGGAGTGCTGGGTTCGAGTTGCCTAAGCAGAGCTCAGCTGATATGAGCCAGTGTCCCAGAGAACAAAAGTTCAGCAGCTACAGCTGGAATCCATTTCAGAGTGGCATCATTTTCCCATGAGCGATCTCAGGGCATTTCGTTCCACCCCAGTGTGCGCTGGGGAGCAAAAGCCAGAGTGACTTTGTCCCTCAGCCGCTAAGATGCCCGGTGGTCACAAGTGTGTCTTACGGGCCTGGGCGCACGCAGAAGGCAGTGGGGGTGGCCGTGCCGGCGTTTCCCGCCCCCACCCACCCTTGCACGCTTCTCCTCAGAGCTGCACAGCAAACTTCAGTCCTCCGAGGCGGAGATGAAGAGCAAGTGTGAGGAGCTGAGTGGTCTCCACGGGCAGCTCAAGGAGGCCAGGGCTGAGAACTCGCAGCTCACCGAGAGAATCCGGTCCATTGAGGCCCTGCTGGAGGCGGGCCAGGCCCGAGACACCCAGGACGCCCAGGTCAGCCTTCGGGAGGGGAGGGAGAAGGCTGCCGAGTCCCACCCTGCCAAGCAGAGAGGGCCAACCGTGGATGGGCCCCGTCCTGACTAGTTGCCGCACGAAGCCAGTCTCATGGTGACCGCGGCGCTTTCTGTCTCTCGTTCCAGGCCAGCCAAGTGGAGCAGCAGGCCCAGTAAGTGGAAGCGGAGGCCCGCAGCCTTAGCGTGGGGTGGCCAGGACCCCAGGAGCCAGGGCTTCCAGCAGGGTGCACAGATTCCCTGGGGAAGAGCCCCTTCAGAGGCCCTTGCCTTTCCCTGCTCCCTCCGGTGGCTCTGAGGACAGGGAACAGGCCTGGCCAGAAAATAAGGCCTCCTTGCAAAGAGCTCCTTGCCTCCTCTCGAGGAGCGAGGCTCAACTGTGTGGAGACTGGCAGGTGCTCGGTGGGGGCTTCTGGACCTTCTGCCCCCTCCTGTCCGTCCATCCATCTGTGACTCAGCTGGTCGGAGGGTCTCCATGTCTACAAGGCGAGGGTTTTTTAGGGACTGAGATCGTAAATGAGGTAGCAGCCGTGATTACACACCCATCTAGAGAACCCAGGAGGTCTCCAGCTTTTTGCACAGATCTGCGATGTCCGTGCAGTTGAGAGCTGGCCCAAGTCACAGGATTGCCCGCGAGGCAACTTCACTGCTGGCCGACCTTGTTCGCTCTCGGTATTGGTGACCCAGCACGAGGCTGTGCTAGGAGACTGTTTATTTGCTGTTGCAAAGGCTGGAGCCAATACTTGGGTGGAGTGGCTTGAGTTAGGGGACTTAGAGTCCTTGGGACCATCACCTCTGGAGCATGCGTCCCTGAACAGATGTCCACAGGCTTGGGAGAGGGTCCTGGCTGCTGTGGCCAGGGCTCCACAGGATAGTCACGGGGGGTGAGGCATGAAGGGTGTCCTCTGTCCCTATGCAGACAATAAGACATGTCCCAGACCATCAGCTGACATGATTCCCTTGTTCTGGCTGCTGCCACCAGTGAGTCACCTCCCCTGCGCCTCCTCGGGCCGTGGTCCATGTTTCTTAGCCTCAGGCTTAGCGGTTTGGGAGCTGAGGAAGGAAGCCAGAGGGCCCAAAATGCCTTGCAGGAGACTCAGGACGAAACTCTCCATGTTCCTTTCCCACTGCTACTTTGCAGAAAGTTCACGTGAATTTTGTTTCTCTTGGTATTTATTGGAGTAGAGAGGTTGTGTTTGATGAGGGTTTTTTTTGCTTTTGTGTTTTAAGATCACATTCTTG